CCGCGTGGCAAGCCCCTCATTGCGTCGCTCGGGGCGTGGGGGAAGGGGAGGAGTGGGGCAGGGCAGGGCCTGCGGCAGAGGGGCTGTCCTGGGTCTTGCACCCCCTTAGGAATGGCCTTGCATGGGGCTTCCCCTGCTCTCCTAGGAGTCTGCGCTGCAGCCACCGCAGAGGCCGGGAGCTTCCCTGGCCCTCAGCTTCATTTCTCCCACTTTCAGCGCCCGCCGGCCCGTTTGCTCCCTTCACCCACCTCCAGCAGCCCCCCCGAGCCTGCAGTCGCTGCTGAGCCCAGATGCCATGCCCCGGGGCCTGAGCCCACGTCCTGCAGCAGCCTCCTGTGCCACAAGCACGTCTGACGAGCCCAGGAACTAGTGTCACCAGGGGACCAGGCTGGGCCTCTCACGGGGCTCCTCTAAGCCACCAAGCCAGCCTGCCATGGCCAGGACAGGGGGCCCATGCCCTTCCCTTTGGGGCCAGCTAGTGACGTGGCCCCTTCATCCCTCCTGCACACAGTGCTGCTGCTGCTCGTCTCCGCCCAGGCCGCTTGGCCAGGAGCGCCTCAGCCAGGCAGACTCAGGGTTCATCTGTTGATGGCTCCATATTCTCCTTCCCCAGGCGCTCCCCCTTACCCGGCCCTGCAGCCCTCCGAAGTGCTCCCCTGGCTCCAGCGCCAGCACCGCATGGAGAAGCCAGACCAGTGCGGGGACGACCTGTAAGTGCCTGATAACCCGCAGAGACACCCAGCGGGGCATGTCCTGGGAGGCCTTCCCCAGGCCGTGCTCCAGACCGACGGGCAGCGCTGCTACTAGCCCTGCGCAACCCGCCCTGCTCAGCGACGGCCCGGCGTCCCTCGCGTAAAACACCGGCTGAGTCCGGAAACACACCTGGAGAAAGGCTGCCTGGGTGGGCAGGGCTGGGCCTGCCGCTGTGATTTCTGTCCCTTCCCCTCTCTCTGCCTCCTGTGTACAATGGGCTAGTGGAGGCTGTGAGCTGTGAGCACCCAGAAGCCCTAAAGCCCCTAGAGCGCTGTTGGGGGGAGGCCCGGAGAGTCCTACAGCGCTTCTCAGGTCGGTGTGTCAAGGCAGGGCAAGGGAGCCATGGGATTTGCTTCTTCGGCAGGCTGGGAGACGGTGCCAGCTGTTGCTCTCCTGAACTAGTGGGTGCGTGGATGAGAAGTGACCAGCGTGTCGCACACACCCTGCTGCGGCTAGGCCTTCCGTGTCACACTCGTGGGGATTAAAGGCAAAGGGAAGTCAAAAGGACTTTAAAAACCCGCTACAAACGGGAAGTCAAAGGGAGCTAGCGCAACAGACTTCACGAGAGCCCCCAAAGACCACAGACTCAGACAGGATACGAGGGCGCCCGCGTCAGGTTTATTGTCAAACGAAGCACGTGAATAGTCGGCGGTAGCCAGACAGCCCCCAAGCCTCTATGGACCCAGCTCAGTCAATAGCAGGAGTTCACTATTGCCCCCTAGGCCGGACAAAGAGTTAAGCTGAGGCCCCCAAACGTTTATAGATGGAGACACTCTAAGATACTCACCTTACTATTATCTTACGCAAGAAGGACACCTGTGGTACCTCCCTGGGACTTTCCTCCAAAGCCTTCCGACTCTCCACCCCTTGGTCCGCTTTCACTCCTGGGCTATGTCTAGACTGGCATGATTTTCCGGAAATGCTTTTAATGGAAAAGTTTTCCGTTAAAAGCATTTTCGGAACAAAGCATCTAGATCGGCACGGACGTTTTTCCGCAAAAGCACTTTTTGCGGAAAAGCGTCCGTGCCAATCTAGACACGCGTTTCTGCAAAAAAGCCCCGATCGCCATTTTCGCCATCGGGGCTTTTTTGCGGAAAACAAATCTGAGCTGTCTACACTGGCCCTTTTGCGCAAAAGTTTTGCGCAAAAGGGACTTTTGCCCGAATGGGAGCAGCATAGGATTTCCGTAAAAAGCACTGATTTCTTACTGTAGGAAGTCAGTGCTTTTGTGGAAATTCAAGCGGCCAGTGTAGACAGCTGGCAAGTTTTTTCCGGAAAAGCGGCTGATTTTCCGGAAAAACTGACCAGTCTAGACACAGCCCTGTTGTTTCAGACAAAATGTCGCTATTCACCACTTCCTGTCAGACTGTTTTCTCGTGTGCTATGTAGGGGTGCCCTTGTCCCATCCTGGTGGACGGTATTTACACGTTCCCTGTGCTTTAGCAGTCCTAGCGCTGAGTCAGGTCCTGGACACCGACTTGCAGGCAAACACCTGCCTTTGACAAGGCCTGTCTGGGACTCAGGGTATCACTCTTGCTGACTTTGACTCAGGTCTCAGGCCTTCCACCAGGCCCACGTATCCAGCTCTTTCTTTCTCCTACACCCAGGAGTGCTCTCAAAAGCTGCTGGCCCTGAACAGAACAAAATCCCTGCTCCAAGTGGCAGGGAGGAATCACTCAGATCACTGTTCTGCAGCCTTTTGAAACCACCATCACCGAAAATAATAGATCTCCTTTGGATGCCTGCCAGCGACTAATTAACCTCCTTCCTGCCCCAAACTGAATCCAAGAGGCCACATGACCTGTTGCATGCTTGGAATCCATCTGAACATAGAGCAGTCACCCACCATGCAGAATTTAACTGGTACCTTTAACTCTCTGTACTGGCTGAAAACTGGCAGTCAAGTAGGCAAGAGCTAAGCTATTATTACTATGTGTTGAGTTCAATGCGGAGACCTATGGCAAGTTCTCGCAACTGGGACTTTGCGTCTTTCTTGGATTGTTCTCTTGACTTAAAGCAAAGGTTGTGCGTGATATAACTTGAGTCTGTTCTTGCCGACAGGTATCGTATCATGAGGAGCTGCTGGCAGTGGAAAGCTTCTAAGAGGCCTACGTTTTCACAGCTGATTGACCAGCTAGACTCTCACGTGCCCCGTGCAAACGAGGCTGAGACGCTTGCTGCCACTGAAAGGCTGGACCTCAGTGACTACCAACGCACGGCTGGGGTGTCCCCTAGAGAAGTGCAACTCTGTCTCTCTGAGCCTTGTGTTATGCACAAGGCAGACAGCCTGTGAAAGGCCCAGCAGAGAAATAGTGACTGTGACAAAGTCAGTATTTCCATGTTTATTTTTTCGGGAAAAGCCTACACGAGATGGAAAGGATCTGAAAACTCCATGGACCTGACCAGGCAAGGAAACTCCTGTCCGAACCCAGCACCAAGGAATAGCTTCTGATTTCTTGTGTATTTTCAGATGTCAAAAACATGGCACAGAAGGCAGCTAAGGAAGCAATCTTGGCATTAGCCAAAATGGGGACAGAACACACTAAGAATACAACTGTTATTTACATCCCTCCCCTATGTCAAAACATTGGTGAGTGCCCGATAGGAAAAAAACATCTTAAGTACAAATAAAATCCCTCCAACCTGAAAACCAGGGAACTAGCTTAGAGCAGGAGACTGGGAACCAGGAGTTGCAGGTCTAGCTCTGCCACTGACTAGCCACAACCTTGGGAAAATGAACACTTTCATAAGAGGCCGGTGATATTTAGGGCCTAACTCGATAAGGATGTTAAATGTAGATTAATCAACTAATTGAATAGCTGATGGAATTTGCATCGATTATTTGATTAGTCGATAAGGACACCTCTGCCTTGAAAATGTAGCAAGAACCTGCCAGCTCTTGCCACATTTCAAAGGCAGATGTGCTGCGAGGAGCACAGGGCTGTGGGGAACTCAAGCAGTCCCCAGCTGGCCCCACGCTCCCTGCTTTTGAGCTCTTGTACATTTCAAAAGCAGGGAGAATGGGGGCTCTCTGCTGGCTCTCTGCTCCCATGGTGCTTCTGCTTTTGAAATGAAAGAGCCCTGCTCTTGCTGCATTTCAAAGGTGGAAACGCCACCAGTTCCCTGCTGTGTCCCCTCACCCGCCCAGACAGTGCTAGGGGGAAATGGCTTTTAAGCCAGCTCCCCCCAGCACCAGCTCCTGCTTCCCCACTTGCTCCCTCTCTCTGGGTATGTCTACACTACAGCACTAATTCAAACTAACTTAGTTTGAATTAGTTAATTCGAACTAAGCTAATTCGAATTAGCGCATCTAGACTTAAAAACTAGTTTGAATTAGCGTTTTGTTAATTCGAACTAGCGCGTCCACAGTGATTGGATGCTGGGGCACATTTAAGGGAAGTTGAAACTGGTTCTGGCAGGGCATCAGGTCAGTAGTTGCTTTGTGTGGCTGATGTCTGAGGCTATCTGAGGCTTGTGCTTAAAGGGACCCCTCTGGACAGCCGGTTCTCAGCTTTTCCGCTTGCTTGCCTACCTCACTGAGGGACAGCAAAGTGTTTTTCTCTGCGCCCATCTGTGTCGGCAGTTACCTTTGGGGACGCCGCCGCAGTTGGCATAAGGTTCTATATCAAGCACCATATCACTGCCACTCCAGGGGGCATTTAAGTTGACCCAGTGGTTTCTACTAGGGAAAAGTCTTCTGGCTTCCATGCATGTGTTCTAACAGTCCTTATTATACATACCTTTGTTTCAATACAACTCGGATGCCAGCGAGCCCCGCAGCGTCTGGTGTCTGGACACCAGCAGCGACTGGTGGGACCGCATTGTCCTGGAGCGCTGGGGAGACAGACAGTGGACCCAGAACTTGAGGATGAAGAGGGACACCCTCCTGGAGCTCTGCGAGTGGCTCGCCCCTGCTCTGCGGCAACGGGACACTCGCATGAGGCCCGCCATCCCCCTCCAGAAGCGTGTGGCCATCGCCCTCTGGAAGCTCTCCACGCCGGACAGCTACCGATCCGTCGGGAACCAGTTCGGCGTGGGGAGATCCACCGTCGGAGCAGTGCTCATGCAGGTACGACACTCACCAGCCACTGGGCGGGGGGGGAGGGCGGCTGCAAGGAGGGGATGGGCCGCCCCAGGGAAAATGGGGGAGGGGGAGGAGGCGAAAGTGTCCCGCACCGGAGGTCTGTCCCGGCCGGACTACACGCTGCCCGGAGGGGTTGCTTCCAGTTCGGCGTGGGGAGATCCACCGTCGGAGCAGTGCTCATGCAGGTACGACACTCACCAGCCACTGGGCGGGGGGGGAGGGCGGCTGCAAGGAGGGGATGGGCCGCCCCAGGGAAAATGGGGGAGGGGGAGGAGGCGAAAGTGTCCCGCACCGGAGGTCTGTCCCGGCCGGACTACACGCTGCCCGGAGGGGTTGCTTCCCTACTGATTTGCGGTTTGCTGTCTCTCTCTGCAGGTGGTCAAGGCCATCAGCCGGGTGCTGCTCCGCAGGGTGGTCCGCCTCGCCGACCCAGACGCCGTCATCCGGGGGTTCGGCGCCCTCGGCTTCGCCAACTGCAGGGGGGCCATCGACGGGACGCACATCCCCATCTGTGCCCCGGAACACCAGGCCTCCCAGTATGTCAACCGAAAGGGGTACTTCTCCATCCTCCTGCAGGCCATGTGTGACCACTGGGGCCAGTTCACGGACATTAATGTGGGCTGGTCCGGCAAGGCACACGACGCCCGGGTGTACCGCAACTCCTTCGTGTGCCAGAAGCTGCAGGCCGGACCTTCTTCCCTGATCACCACATTAGGATCGGGTATGTGGACATGCCCGTGTGCCTGGTGGGGATGCGGCCTACCCCCCTACAGCCCTGGCTCATGAAGCCGTACACAGGGCATCTCAACCCCTCCCACCAGGCCTTCAATGACAGGCTCACCAGGGCCCGCATCATGGTGGAGGGGGCCTTCGGCCGACTGAAAGCCAGATTTAGGTGCCTCCTCACTCGCCTCGACCTCGCCGAGCACAATATCCCTCCCCTGGTGGCAGCATGTTGCGTGCTGAACAATTTGTGCGAGAGAAAGGGAGAGGCTTTCTTGCCAGCCTGGATGGCTGAGGCTGACCGCATGGCTGGCCCCTCAGCCCCGGGAGGCCAGGGCCACTGCATGACACCCAGCTGCTGCTCCATGGTGGGCAAGGCCCAGGCGCACGGTCACTGGGCTCCCTCTCCCTCCACCCTCCCGTACACATAAGGGGAGCATGATGGTACTCACATGTGGAGGCCTCCCTGGCTCTCGGCGTCCTCCTGCTCCTCCTCCTCCATGTCCGGGACGGGGCCCTCTGCCCCGGGGTCGATCACACCCAGAGGGCATGGACAGCGTGAGCCCCCAGGATGCGGTCCAGGGCCTCAAAGTGGGGGCAGGCCTCTGGGTCAGCCCCTGGCTGGCAGGCCCGGGAGTAGGCCTGCCGCAGGTCCTTAATTTAGCAGCAGACCTGTTCCCGGGTCCGCATGTGGCCTCTGGTGGCCAGGCTGTCAGCCATGTGGCTGTACACAGCCACGTTCCTGTGGCTAGTGCGGAGATCGTGGACGTTGGAGGCCTCCCCCCAAACCTCGATGAGGTCCATGATCTCTGCACTTGACCAGGCGGGCACCTGCCTCTTGCGGCCCCGGGCAGGCTCCTGTGAGCCGCCAGCCTGGTCCTGGGAAAAGGGGGAGGGCTCGGTGACAGCGTGTGGCTGGCTCATGGTGTGCCAGGTGCAGGGTCTGCTGCCCGCCAGGGGAAATCTGAGTTTGATCTGGGCAGCAAGAGCACAGACTGCACCAGGGCTCTCGAGCCAGGCTGCTACAGACTGACAGCCTGATATACGCGCCCATTCCTCTGGCTCCCCATCCCCATCCCCAAACCTGTGCCACAGGCTGAGAAATAGGGAGGCCAAAGGGGCACTGACCCTGACTTTGAGAAATGGGTCTTGACCGGGGTGCAATCGGTGGAGGGGGGCCAATCTGGATCTGGATGGTGTAACAGCAAAGCTTTCCCCCACTGAGTGGGGCTGTCATCTGGCGCATGATGTCCAGCGCTGCTCAGATCTGCCCGGTTTGGAGGGGTGGCCTCCACCTATGTTCCCGCTACTCTTTTCCACCCATGTGGAGAGTTTTCCTGTCCATGTGCAGAATAAATTTTGATGTGCACCGAGAGTGTGCAAATGTGCACCACTGGCGGAAACACAAAACCCAGCCATGGGCTCCACCCCCACAACCTTTGCCAGTCTTCTGGGGCCCTGCTCTGGGCCTAAGCTGGGGCTCCCCGCGAACCCCCAATTGCTGCAGGCACCATCCAACAGGCTCCCCCAGCGCCAGCCTCCCAGGCACCGAGAGGGGGTTTCCCCGACCCCGCTGCACAGCCTGCCCGCCAGGGGGCGCCGCGCCGCGCTATGCCAGGAGGTAATGGGCTCTCTTGCCGCCCTGCTCTACCGCGGGCTCCCAGCCTTGCGCCTGCGCTCTCTGCCCTGCTCGCGCGTTTCCCCGTGCTGCGCAGGCTAGCAGCAGACCTGTTCCCGGGTCCGCATGTGGCCTCTGGTGGCCAGGCTGTCAGCCATGTGGCTGTACACAGCCACGTTCCTGTGGCTAGTGCGGAGATCGTGGACGTTGGAGGCCTCCCCCCAAACCTCGATGAGGTCCATGATCTCTGCACTTGACCAGGCGGGCACCTGCCTCTTGCGGCCCCGGGCAGGCTCCTGTGAGCCGCCAGCCTGGTCCTGGGAAAAGGGGGAGGGCTCGGTGACAGCGTGTGGCTGGCTCATGGTGTGCCAGGTGCAGGGCCTGCTGCCAGCCAGGGGGAAG